AGGTGCTTATCTCGAGAAATGGAAGCTCCTGTTCTTTCACACACGGAGTAACCTCTGGTACACGGACGAATGGCCACGCGCTGCCAGTTGCTGCTGTTCCTGACAGCTCTCACCGCTGCAACCCGCCTACCGGGGGCTTGGCCTTCGCCTTCCGCTGCGCGGAGCGCAACGCACCGACCCTCGCCCCGGTGCAGCACCAGCTGTCGTTCCACCTGAGGAATGGGGAAGCCACGGAGATGCGTACGTCCTGCCATGAGGTGCTGGGACTGGCACGCCTGGCAAAGTGCTGTAATGATTAGGCAGTCAAATTGTGAGTCTTTAGGGTTCTCCTTCAAAAAATCTAGTTGCAATAACTACAAAACTTGATTACAGTGTTATCTGAGGAAAGGAATTATGTTCTTTTTGATAAAAACTAAATTGGTTTTGAGTAAAATATTTGCTCTTCATAGGCTCATGCAGAAAATTAAAACAAAATAAGATCCCTCCCCCAGTTTAAATTTGACCAAAGTATTTTATCTGCTCATTTACCATAAACAAACTGCATCCAGAGAGCAGAATAAAAGCTCACGTGTAGTTTCTGTGTGGAATTGGGATATTGCTCTCTGTTTTTAAACAAGAGCTGAAGCGACTCTGAGCTTGATGTCTAGGTAGATGTCTGCTGTTGTCACAGAGGAGCTGGCAGGTTGAAGACAGTAATTCTTACAGGCTTTACTTTCTCTTACTGTAAAGAAATCAGGTGGGCAGCTATGAAAATTTTGGTACGTGATTATCTATTTTTTTAAAGAGTCAAATTTCCTTTCAAAGGTTCTTTTAAAAAATGCACAGTGTGCTGCGTTGGTGTTATTTTCAACTGTTGGAAGGCCAGAAGTTAAGCGTTCTCCTTGGTATCACATTATGTAAAATCAAATTGAAAATATACTGCCAAGTAATTGCGTATTTTCAGTAACCAAGAGTACCAAAGACCTTCTAAAGATCCAGTGCATGGTATATTCAATAGTACAAAGTTATTTAAAATAATTGAGACTAAATTTTATACAGTTGCTTGTTGTTAAATACATAAGCTCAGGCAAATTCAAGTAAAGCTTGAACAGGGGTGGTGACCGAGAACTGATAAGCTGTGCTGTCCTGAGAGCTTTAGCTGCATTTGATCACAACGATTTCTACCGCAATCTGATGCTGTTACCGTTATGTTCCTGTAAACTGATTTAATTACTCAAGTCTCAGAGGAAGAAGCTGTTTCAAGCGAATACTTGTGACATCTGTGATCTGCATGTAAAGAATTATCTTGGTGAATCAGTCAAGTGACTTTCGTGCTGAAGTGCCTGCTGGATGCCATTTGTGAGCACAACTGGCTAACGCTTTGGCTCTAATTTGCGGAATGACAACTTAAAGTGATTTTCTGGTATAGATGCTAAATGTTACGGGTGAGAAAAGACGATCAGTTACTAGTGTGAACGAATACAACTGCCTCCCCAGAAACAACTGAATGCAAAGTGAATGAAATTGTAATTGTAAATGTTCCAATATTTTAGCATAGCAAAAGCAAATACGAAAATTGAGCTGAAAATACCCTTTTGTGGCTAAGCACGCTTACAAATGGTAAAGATTTGCCAGTTTTAGGAATCTTGTTGCTTATCAGCAATTTTTCCTTCTGCTGTGAACCCCGGAATTACCTTTCCAAAGGCTGCTGCTGCCTGTTGAACACAGCCATTCTGTCCGCTGGGATGCCTGTAGTCTGCAGCTGGATAGCGCATTTAAAGTGTAACAGAATTAGTTGTAGGAGCTGGAAATAAAACACAGCTTGACAAAAGTCATCTCAAGAGGAAGCTGTGAAAGGTGGGTAGAGCTGGGGAAAAGTGTGGTTATGCCCTGGCACACTGGGGCAGGGGTGCGTGGAGGAGGGCAGTACTGGCCCCCTGCACCTTCTGGCACGGCTGCAGGACTGCGAAACATGACCGCGGTCTCGCCTTCGGAAACATTCAGGGGGGTTAGAAAACCAGAAAAGCCTGGTAAAAACTGTTCAATATTGTAAGCACTGGAGTAACATGGCTCCTAATCTTTCACCGAGAATCAGGTGACTGTGTGGTTTTCTCGTTGTAGCATCTTTTTGGTTTTTTTTGTACGAGGTCCCTGGCAGACTTTAATAATTGGAGTTAACAGGTATAAAGTAACAAGATGGCAACAGATAGGGTAACCTTTCTAGGTCAAGCCTGTCAAAAAAAATCTTCCTGAATTTGGTATCATTTGTCAGAGGAGCGTGCGATCATATCACACACCAGTTTCTGACAAACCGTATTTCTAAGAACGTAAATTCTGTACGTGCCGTTACACACTGTGAAGGTTTGGAGGTGGTGGGGCAGCCATGGCGGGGCCATGGGCGAGCAGAGCGCAGGCCCCACAGCCCGTGGGGCAGCAGGCCGGCGGTGGGAGCAGTGGGGGTCCCCGCGGTGGGCCCGGGTGACAGCAGCTCGGTGGGCACAGTGACATGGCCTGGGCCGCACACGCTGACGGAGTCGTGCAGGGCAGGGGGCTGGCTTTGGGCCTTGGCAGTCGCAGGTTTCTGCAGACCTCCATTTCCATTCTGAGGCACAGCTCTGCGTGTCTTTGAGCTGAGGTGAAATAAAGCCCCAAAGCTTCCATCAACGGGCAGCGACACCCGCTCCCGTGCGGCTAAGCGCCGGCAGAGCCCGCCGGCTGGCTGTCCCGTCCCCGGGGTCGGGGGGCCCCCCGGGGCCCCCTCACC